TGAATGGATAGCAACGAGCATTCATGCAACCGTCTTACATACACCAGGCGACAACATGCAACAATTGGTGCAATAAATTGCAACTGCACGTTGGGCTCATTGCTCGCGTTGCTTTTTTTTTGCATTTATTTCTGAAGCCCTGTTATCTGGATAACCTGACTGGTTATGTCTGGCTGGATGGTTTTGTGATTCGGTAAGGGCATGCATTTTGCACATAGTCGCGTGCATTGCGAAAAGTAATTAATCAAGTGGAAATATGCGATGGCAGTAAGTGCACCACTTACAGATTTTGTGGAAATTTTTTACTGGCCTAAAATATTTAAAAATGTACAAAAAAAAATAGCCGTACTCGAGTTGTGCATGCGGTAGAAGAGCTGAGCAGAGATGTTCAATGATGGTGTGAATGAAAGGTACATACTTTGAAGCCACGTCTTAAGGCCGGTATGCAACTCTCAAGAAAACGGTCAAGAACAAAATTGCCATTATTTCGTGTGTGTGTCCAAGAAATATTGACATCTGATACTGTTGCCTCATTCTTTCCTCAAGAAATAACGGAACGGGCATATATTTCTGTTGTGCTCTTTTAAAAAAAAAAACTTTAGAAACCCGTAGTAGAGCGCATAGCAAATTTCTTAAGAACTGCGTACTGCCTTAAGGAAATTTGATACAAGAAAATTTCTTAGCCATTTCTTGTACGTCATTTTATATCTAGTTTTTGCTTTTCTTGAGAGCTGCATACTTGCCTTTAAGTGGCAGTCGAGAATAGCGTAAGCATAGCTTTGTCATAAAATTGCGCCATTAAGTAATTAATTAGTAGACAAAAGCATTTAGTTTGTGCTAAATATATATATAGTAGATATTATTTGCCATTATCTTTATCTTACTTTTTGATGTGTTTACATCTTTGGTTCGGTAGGGGTAAAATTTGCGAAGCTGTACCGCATAGCCCAGCTGAAAATTTCGAAGGGCTTACCGTGTTTATTGCAGCAGAAATTTTTTAATTTCTTTAGTGAAAGAAAAAGTGACCATGGTGGCACAGAGAAAAAGCTTAACTTTTCCTCGAATTGTGAGAATAACAAGCACAATCAATTTGAGAGCTAACGATCTATGATTGAGATTATATTTAACATTTTTTACGAACAGGAAGCTTCGAAAGCCTAAGACCAAATCCTTTAGTGTGAGACCTTAACCCAAATATGAGAAAACCCCACATTCGTCGAAGTCTGGATGCAGTCCGTTAGAAGTTGCCTCAGTTATAGCATCTCGACTATACATTGTTTTTCTGTATTAGATATACAAAGTCGTTTTCGATGCTGCCACCTCGAGTCCGTTGGTTCAAAATGAACGTAATTGCATTGTTCAGTGTATCCAGTTTTTCAGTGGTTCCTATCATGTATATATATATATGGTCTAGGGTAGGCTCTTCTCCAATCACGAAACGAATGTTATTTACTGGCGAATCGAATCGAGGCCAGTGATACTAAACATGTTCGTCATCTTCAGTAATGTCACCTCTACACGTTTTGCAGCGGTCATGCTCTTGTTGAGAGCTTTTTGTTGTGGGCTGAGAGCCACAATTTCAGTGTAACTATCTACAACCAAAACGAGCTCTGACGACCCCGCTGATTTCATTTACTGATTGAGGACCACTTCAAGTGCAGAAAATGTTCACGAGAATTTCAATAAAGGCTTTTCTTAAAGTGCGTACCTAAAAGCAAATCAATAGGAATTCGGGTATGTACATTTTCAAAGATATTCCAGCAAAATGAACAGACGATGACCATGAGCTCTTCATGTATCAAACCAACTTAGGTTTTTACATTGCCCAGAAGGCACCTGAGTCGTAAGACTGAACATCTTCGCCTATATTTTCTTAAGTCATCATAAGGCCGGTGTATCTATGCCAGGCACTAGGAACTTTCAATAAGGTCTATACTCAGAGAGTATGCTCTAAAAACAGGCCGACCTAGTAGTGAACTTTTCAAAGTGGTATCAAATAAAATACTAATGATTTCTATGAAGAAAACAAGATGTTTAGTAGATGACTTACCCAAAAGGTGTTATTATTTACATAAAATAAACTTTTGGTCACGTTTTCTGCTAATAAACAACATATTCTGTGAGCCTCGTGTATTTTGGAGCTTTGATTAATTTACCACATACATTATTATATTTAAATTCTGCAAGTTCGTTAACGTTCCACTAACTACGCAAGCGAAACGCATACAAAATTAAATGTCTACTACACGTGTACATTAGGGTGCCCATCGAAAATACCTTTTTTGGAAATTAAAAGACCCTAGCCCTTAATTTTATTCGTTTATATGGGAAATATTATTGCCAATTTTTATAAATTTTTTAAAGGTCATTCAGAGGTCGCGATCTGTAGATTTAGGTCAGAAGTAGGATTTTGTAGATTTATGAGTTTTTGAATAACTATTTTCGATTCGATTTCAATATCATCTCAGAAGAGAATATATAGGCCTTTAAAATGGTATACAACAATCTATGGTCGGGCTAGGCTTGTTGGGATTTTTTATCGGGTTAAATTAAAAAAATACCCATATTTCTCTTAATTTGTTTTTTAAATTTGACCATCGATAATTTCTACAATTACAAAATATGGAGCACTATCTAAAATTAAATCTGTTTTCAAATAAATGGTAGAATAAATTGTTGAAGTTAGGCGACTTTTCTTAAATACGGCCCCGAATTTATATGTGTGTATGTATCGGAATTTCAGATTTTTTGAGCAGTGTGGCCAAGGAGTTCATCAATATTTACTCAAAATTTATATACACAATCGCTCTTTAGTAAACAAAAGGATTTTTTAAGAAATTTTAGGAAAATAGGGGTGGAAGCGCCAACTTACATGATATATTCGTATCTCAAAAACTACTTGTCCGATTTCGACCAACTTTGGTCGAATTAGGGGGTAGGGTCTTGAAATTTCCAAAAAAAAAAACATTTTCGATGGACACCCTAGTGTACATACTTATGTACATATGTACATATGTGTGTATGCATGATTATGTACTGTTATGCTTCCAAGAAACATATTCAAGTCATGATTTTCATTGAAAACAGCAGAGGCCTCATTATCATTGATTCCAAAAAAAAAAAAAGACTATTACTGATGGCACGTGCTTCTGAAGGGTGGCTTGTTCCTAAAAACAAATGAAGGCGGACCACCACAGATCAATGTGTGCATAAGAGTTATTTATGTTGTTGCGGTGTCATAAAGTCCATTAGCAAATTTTATTTGTAACATTTCAAAATCGCGAATGTACTCACATAGGTACATACATGCGACTGCTTGACAAAAGTAATTGGTTCACAAGTGTCATGCATACATATTTACTATAATCAATATCTCTGCCATATAAGAGAATTTGTCTAGTCTGCAAATTTTTTAAATACTTGTATTTGCTTAGGATTATAATCCGTTTGACATCATAATTGTTTCACCGGATTACAGTTAGTTGAACCTTAAGAATGATTTGTGTTTTTTACTATTTCCAAATATTTATTACCCAACAACGGGTTTGAATTACATAAGGAACAATTGCACATAGCATATCACTTTGTGGCATATCTCCGGTATTTCCGCTTGTCATTCTCCTTCGTCTGTGACAGTCTTATTGCGGTTATCCAAGTTTTATTTGCTATTTCATTATGCTTGCAGAGAAATTCGCAATACAAAGAAGACAATAAAAACCGCAAACGTATTTTTAAGCGATAACATTCAAGTAGCTCATTGTGTTAATGTATGGTATCCCTTAAGAATTTCAATGATTCAATGAGTAATTGTTGTATGTAGATATATATTGCAAACTTTCAGTCCAAAAGAGAAGTACATAGCATTAAGAATCATGTCAGTGTGACTGGACATAATTGAATGAACATTTCTATGATTATTTACTTTTCTTATATGTATGTGAGTTTAGGCATGTAGAGATTCTTTTGAGATTATCTTTTCATATCTAAAAATCCCAGCACTTGTTTGTGCGCTGGGTTTGTGACACGCCACGTAAAAACTCTTTCCAGTGAAGAAGAACAATAAAGCCTCGGATGAGAACCTCCNCCCCCCCCTCTTCGATGACTTCCACGGCAAACGTTTAAAGGACTTCGATTTGAGGTCACGCATTTGGAATGTCCGGATCCTTAATAGGGAAGGTGGCTCTGCCCGGCTGGTTAATATCCACGTAAGGACAAAAGCTGACATCACCTCCATCCTAGAAATGCGTTGAACGAGGCAAGGAAAGAAATTCCTAGGGCCTCGAGACGTCTATCGCCATGGGAGGCGCACGAATTCAGTGTTGAACTTGTGGTGGTAGAGAGAATCCGTCACCGAGTACTGTCATTCACCCCGATGGACGATCGCTTCCCCACAACCCACATCAAAGCAACATCCCGCTGACGTACGTACACTCGGAGGCCCAAACGTTGACTCGGACCACTCTCTAGTTGCAGCCAAGATATGCAAAATGCAAGGTAAGCTTAATTAACCCTCTGCTGACTGACGTGGCAGTCTGACAGACACCGAAAGTTCGACATTTTTCCCGATCTTCAATAATATTGATTACCAAAACCGCCTATTTTTCGACATTTAGTTTATTTATATGACTATTTCATTAATGAGTACCTAAAATATTGATGCAATTTCCAGTATAAATCTAAAAAAAAAACGTTTTTTAATATTTATCTAACATATATATTTTGATCTGGAAAATCGGTGTCTGAGAGACTACACGTCAGTAAAATAGGGAAATTTTGGTCACGTCAGTAGCAGAGGATTACGTACCGCCGCCGAAGAAGTAGTTGGATTTCAGCGAGCCCGAAAAAACAACTGGTAAGATGAGGACTGTCAGGAGGCTGCAGAGAAAAAAGATGTCGCCTACAGCGCCACGCTGCGATCGGGCGCAACGCGCGCTAAGTGGGACCGCTATAGGGAACTGAAGAGGGACGTATTTTCCGCAATAAAAAGAGGTAGAAATACGTGATTACGAAGAGCTTGAAATGCTGGTGGACAAGAAAACCACCCTTTTAGCAGAGAGTTAGACGATTTTTATGAGAAGCTGTTTTTTCATGGCAGAAATACACTCGGAGGTTTGCCATTGCCTACCGAGGGACGACCGCTGTTAAGAAAAAACCTTTTTCTATATTTTTTGCCATGTTGCTTTGACCAGAGCTTGGACCCAGGCGTTGCGGAATGGAAGCGTGTGCTCTGTCCAATCACCATGAAAGGCTACCCCGCCATTCGCGCCAACTACCGCGACATCAGCCGTCTAAGCATAGGTTTTCAAGGTATTTTTGAGTGTGGCTTTAGACCAGGTATTCACAATACGCTAAATCTTGGAAAAGACCCCCGATAAAAGGATCGACAAAGGATCTATTTGACAGCACTAAAAGGAGTTGCCTATACGTCGCAGTGTCTGAATTTTAATTACCCGATAGGACCTAGGTTTGGTTCCTTTACCCTTATCCTCACTCTTACCCTTACCTTTACCTTTGGCATTGTATTGCGAACAGTATAACCAGATGATCACAAAAAACTAAGCTAAATTTACTTAAAAAAAGGTTAGAAAAGTTGTATGCCAAAATGTTTAATAACACATCTTCAAATGCAAGTGAACACTACTCATTAAATTAATTTTTAAATTGCTTCCCAGTCGGCTTTACGAGGCCTTTTTTTCGATTTCTTAAAGCGATTGACCTTCCGTGCTCGATGCAGTACAAATTTAACTTTTCTCCATACTCACGGCGACACGCAAGCTTCAATTTTTCCTTTATTTGAGATCCGCTTCTTTAAAAAAAAAGAATATTCTCGTTTACCTCCGAATAGCAGAACTGTTGGAATGTCTTCTAATACAACTTCCAAAGGTAAGGTCTTACTTAAAAAGCACTGCCTAAAAGCGTTGATTATAAGAGCTTTTGCCGACTGGTTTTATGACAGAAGTAACATAGTCGCTGTAAGAATTTTCCGTAACAATTCAAATAATGTTTCATCTTAGTTGCTCGAATTTTCAAAGGTTCGTCTCATTAGTCAAAAATTCAGAATAAGAACAATAAAGATAAGTGGAAAGTTCACCGCAAATTTTTATACCTTTCTCAGTACTAAAAATATGAAAATTACTTATACATAGTTCGTGGACCTTGGACCTGGTCCTAAAATTCCGGTGCTAAAACAAAAATGTGAGTACTAAACCTAGCCTCAAAAACCAACCTGGTCACGCTGATTGCAAATTTCGGTAAAATTATTTTGTTTGAGCTTCATATACTCCGAATTCCAGGGTATACAGATATCTAACAATTATGCTCTTATTGGGCTGCTGGCTGGTCTCTTTTCGTTTGAGGAAAATGAGACAGAGAAATGTGCGGACTTTTCCAGTATATTCGTAAAACAGAAAATTTTAAATAGATAGATATTTAGCTGGTGTGCAGTTTTTCCAAACTAATACTTATAAACTAGCAGATACATTTTTTTATTAACAATTTTAACCAGTTATAAATCGCGATTTATAGGAGGGTATGCCGAAAAATAAGCTGGGAAAACTGCAAATGCTTTTTTTTTTGTTTTTCATTAAATACATCTTGGTCATATCGCAAGGTATCGAAAATGTGAAAAAGCATTTTGCACATTCGATAGTTTGACATGGGAGCGACGATATGTTGCAGGTATCACACATAGCCTTTTGTATTTTTACACCAAAAAGTGTATAGGCAGAAAAAACTGGATGACTAAAATCTAAACGACTTTCTTACTATGTTTATGGCATATACTGGTTTATAGCGACAAAAAATGAAACAACATAGTTATAGCAACAACAAATATTTAAAAGCATCTTGTTTTGCTTAAATGACGGTTTATAAGTAATACATTCTACTTTTATTAAAAATATTTACGTTCGTAGTCCGTTGAACCTCAGCCGCATAAATTAATTATCTATGTGTAGAAGTAAGTGAATGTCAATGAAGTGAATAATTTCTATTCAACCCATTTATTAGCAAATACGTAGTATGCATATGTAAATATGAATACAAAATATATAATAATGAAATAGGTATGTACATATAATGTGTCTAATAAAAGTTTCATAAAAAAAAAAATTTGCTCGCCTATGTCTGATAAGTAATCATATATATATATATAGTTAGTTATTAAATAGTTAGTAATTTATTGCAAATGGAAATATTTTAAGACACAAATTTTATATGTCATAAAGAGTAGACCATATATTTGTCCGAAAATTTCTAATATCGGTATTCGTTTGATGATGGGATTTTTATAGTTTTTAGTGACGTCAAGTAGTATTTAAATTTTTCTTAAGTAATATAAGTGTTTATTGCGCTTTTTCAATTTTTAGTTTGGAAAAAAATAAAATCGTGGCAGGCTGCGTTTAACAACAATTTTGCAAACAGTTACATTGTGTTTGTGTTTTGCCTACATACATATGCAGGTACAATATAAAGTCATTTGTATCTACATGAAAAATAATTAAGAATGAACAATAAAAATAAAATAATTTAAGAATTTCGTGAAGTAGTTACATTCTTCGAGACTTTGGAGAAAATCTATCGGTGCGTTTTTCGTAAATTACATTCCAAACTTCAATCACGATTTCCCAAATCCTGCCGAAAGTAATATACGACAGTCTTTCATCGGGGCGACGATATGCAATTATTTATTATTTCTGGATTAAGCAATAACTAATAATCTCAAAGTAATAAATATGTATGTAAATATACATATCGTCGCCTGGATAAACGATTGTCGTAAGCGCTATTTTGACGATTTTTAGTTCCAGATGCAGTTATATATCTTGAAATAAGGTCTTTCGATTGGTGTTATCTCTTTTTAGATATCTCCTTTAGTTTCCGAGATATTGAGTAAAAAGTGCCGTTAATTTAGTAGAAATTTTGATCAAATTTTGTCGTATTTCATACAAAGTGGCTGCCAAATTGTGAACAAATGACGCTTACGACAAAATTTTACTAAAGAAAATCCTTCATAAACTCAAAACTAATAATAAAAATAATTTAAGATTTTTGTGAACTAGTAACATTTTCAGAGACTTTGGAGAAAATCTATCTTCGCGTTTTTGAGAAATTGTAATCCAAATTTCAATCGCGATTTCCCACAACCTACCGAAATTAGGCCGGGTCGATTTTTTTGACTAAATATGCGCGTATAGGTTAGGAGGATTCTACGTGTGACCCTAAGCAAATTTGCCGCAGAAACCATGGATCTAAAATCAATTTGGAGTTTGCCGAATTTCGAGAATAGTTTTCGAAGAAAATATGAAAGTTTTCACTGTCGCCCCTCTGGTGGAAGTTTTAAGAAAAAGATAAGTGCAGAAAAGATTCCTTATACCAAAAAACCCCTTGAAGCATATTTTAATACAAAATTTAAGCACTTCTTTAGGACACTACAGCAAAATGCTAAGAAACAAATTTTTGCAATTTGGCAAACTCCGAATTGATTTTAGACAATTTTCTTAGAATTACACGTAGAGTCCTTCTGTGCCATACGCTCATATTCGAAAAAATCTCCTATACAAATTGATTCGCCCTAATGTATATATTTCGACCGCATTTCATTTTAGGCTAAATTTGTACTGAAAATTTGTAGTTAGCTGACGATTTTGAGTTAACTACGCACTGTGAATTTGGCCCTTAGTGATAAACTACAAGCAGCGCTCCTCTTTAGAAGTTATTAACCTCTTAAATAAATAAAAATAAAAAACAGTTTCCAATTCATGATTGCTTAACTACAAAGCAAAGTCCACTTCGGCTTGTAAAATCCTGAAATCCATGAAATTCAATATTTTATGGGATGTTCACACTCCACCTCCACTTTTACCTTCAGTCATTGCCATCGTTAAGTCGATCGAGCTAGAGGGCAATTCGATCCAGTAGATAAAGATTGGTGATAAGTACTACTCATTACCAGCTATTTACTCAACTACAGCAATTATCTTATAAACAACCAACAACAGACTATAATTCTTGCACATATGCATTTTAACAAACCTGGCGTCCTTCCAGCAAATTGAGTAATAATTATAGTACCGGCTTCACAACGACTTCTGGTCTTCACTTTATTACCTGCAACGATTTTTTTTTTATTGCTGGTCGTGTTTCAGTATTGAAGTGATAGGATCACTTGATCGCGATAAGCGTAACCATTTATTTATTTTTATAATCAAAAGCAAGGAAGCCAAATTCGATAGCAGAAATCAATGAAAAAAAGTGCATGCCATTTTAATAGATGCTATTTAATATACTTATAATAATCATGGTTTACCTATTAATTATGACACTATATTTAAAGTGATATGTATTCATATTATTTACATTTATGTTTTTTGGTTTATTTTAGCTTAGACGCTTTTAAAATAAATAAATCATCATGCAGTCCCTGCTAGTTGCATTGGTAAGTTTCTTCTTTTAATTTTATAATATATTTCCATCTATTAGTTAGAATGTTCAAAAATGTTCTTGAGTTAATAAAAATTTGGAAAGCATGCTGTATATTCAGAAACTCTTAAGAGTTTAACGAAAAAATCATAACATTTGAAAGGGATAAATTACCATTAATTACGCAAAAAAGGCCGACAAAAAGATTTTGACGTAGAATACGTCTTACCTTAAGGTATGGGGGCTATGTTCAAATGTTGTAGTTGTAATTTTTAGAGCTTCACAAAAACGCTTATTGCACGAGAACTAATAAAGCGATTTCAAAGAAAAGTGTGGCGTTTCAAAGATAAAATTCCAAACCTGTCG